TTTACAAGTACTAAATCTGAAGAACATTAAAATAGGAAATAGCAGGATATTTACACAATCAAAGGGCGTTCGACCAGCCACGCTGGCCTGTTGCTTCAAGTCTGAAACAATCACAGAAAGGTAATCAGGACTCTGGATTTTTTTTTTTTCCCCATTTAACTTTTTAAAACTATTAAAATTCTCTGCCTTTCGCCGGGTCCGTGTCAGGTTTCCCCCTGCTTTCTTAAAGGACAGCTCGTTGTGCGCTTTGGTCAGGACTGGGTGAGCCTGGGGGGGGACCCTGCTACCCGTCCCTCTGCTCCCCGTCCCGAGGCTGGGGCCAGCCCCGAGGGTGGCACGGGGCTCTGTCCAGAGGGGACACCAGGGCCAGGCACAGGGGACGATTCCAGGCTGGACTGCACTTTTTTTTGAACCCCAAACTGAAGAGAAAAGGTAATGTGAGCTGAGGGGGGACAGGGAAGGACCCGCTTGCTGCAGCAGTCGGGGAGCAGCCCGCGGGGTCCAGCTGCCTCCGACAGCAGGGGGCAGAGCGGAAGCTCCCCAAAACGCAGGCTCAGGGCAGGAGATGCTTCTCCGTCTCACCCCATTTTGGGGCACAGGCAATACCACCAGTAAGAGGAGTCCTGCGAATGCTTGCCAGCCTCTCCCCGCCCTTCCTCGCTCCTAGGCAGGGTTAGACAGGGACTGCCAGCCCAGCTCTGCCCCCCGCCAGGCTGGGGCGAGGGAGGAAGGACAGGCTGCCTGGCACGATTAAGGACGCTGGGCATCACGCGAAAGGCAAAGGTAGCACCAAGAAGTGCCAGAGGCTGCGGGCAGCGTTGCAGTGCCCACCCCGCCAACCACCACCCTCCCTGTCAGAGGCAGCAAGGGGAGCCCAGAAAGGTGGGGAGGTGCTGGGGGGATCCTTTGGTGGAGCAAACCGCAAACACCCCAAAGCTCTCCAGGAGGACACCAACGGGAACCCATCCCCAGGACCACGCCACGGGCTCTCAGCATCATCATGGGGCGGGAAGAGCCAGGTCACAGCACAAGGGGGACTCAGCAAAGGGGAGCCCAGCGAGCACAGCCACGCCATGGCACAAGCCTGCTTGGCATGACCCCCCGGGAACCTCTCTGCTGCCCAAATCCAACCCAGGCCCACCATGGCCAAGAAACTCGCCTGTCCCTCCAGCCCAGCCGAGGGAGCACCCACAGCATTGCTGCCAGGAAAGCAACAGGCTAATAAACCCTCTGTTCTTAATGGTGCTTCCAGCCCTCATTCACCAACGAGGAAATTTTCAGGGGGATGGTCTTAGAACTCTCCATCCTCCCCAACCAGCAACGGGAAGGGTCCCACCATCCCCTCTCAATCACCACAAAAACTACGCGCTTGGCTCCCTCAGTGGCCACCGAAGCTCCCCAAGACACTCTTACCACTGCAACAGGCAGGGCCCACGCCACTTTCGGATAGAGACTTCAAAGCAACCGCTCCCCTTCCACCGGATCGCAATGACCACCAACACATGGCCGCCGTCCTCCGGGCGATTTCCAGGACCTCCGCCAACACTGCCCAGCCGGCAGCGGTGCAAGGAAGAAGCTTTGGGCCAACCTTGCACCAAAGGGAGCTGCAGGCACCCCTGCTCACCATCGCAATGGCAGCGAGTTCTGCAGAGGACCCCCCGGGAGGATTTTGTCCCACCGGAGCGCCCATGGAGATGCTGGCAGCCAGCGGTGGCCCCGGCGCGGGGCGGGCGGGCACACAGCTGTCCTTTAAGGCTCTCCGAGTACCACATTTGAGATGTGAACCTCTGAAGTCTTTCTTTTTGCTTTGTTTTTGTTTTTTCTCTTGGACGAGAAAGTGACAAATTAATTTCAAATTAAAAAAAAAGATAACAGGTCTAAACAAACCTCTAATATTCAACACTTGCAGTTTTTTTGTTTTATGTTTTTTTTTTTTCCTTCTGTTTCTTAAAAAGATCAACTCAGACTAAAATCTAGCACAGTCATGCAACAGCCCACAGCTCTCAGAAATCCAGCGACAGCTCGGGGTTCGTAGGTTTGGGAAACAATTATTATTTCTTTTTCAAACATAGTTTTGCTGTTGTGGTTGGGTTTTTTGTTGTTGTTTTTGTTTTTTTTTAATCAGCATCTTCTCCTTTCCCTCCTTATTAAAACAAAACAAAATCAAACAAAATTACAACATAATGAGAGATGTGCAGGCTTCAAACAATTGTTCTGCATGGTGAGAAAGGCTTGGAAATTTCTTCCAGACCATTTGGTATCCTTTTTTTTTTTTCGTAGTTGTTGTTTGTTTTGTTTTAACTGGCTGGGGAAATTCATTTCATATTTATACTGTGTAAGTATTTCATATTTATATTGGTTCGATTCTCCTTCAGTTAACTATACAGCACCCCACTGGGGCACGAGAATTAGATTGTAACCACATATATATATATACACACTTTTATTTTTTTTCTTTTTTAATTAAAAACTTCATTATTTCTCCCTCTCCCCCCCTTAACTTGCGATTTAAGGGAACGGACAGAAATCAGCTGGGCTTCTTTCCACTTAGATTTCGACAGCGATTCTCCTTCAGTTAACTATACAGCACCCCACTGGGGCACGAGAATTAGATTGTAACCACATATATATATATACACACTTTTATTTTTTTTCTTTTTTAATTAAAAACTTCATTATTTCTCCCTCTCCCCCCCTTAACTTGCGATTTAAGGGAACGGACAGAAATCAGCTGGGCTTCTTTCCACTTAGATTTCGACAGCCACCCGCTCCTGGCAGAGTTTGGCCCCGTCTGCCGTGGCCTGGGCAGCGACGGGAGCTCTTGGTACAGAAAAGGAAAGGGTCTCTCATTTTTTTTGGAAGTTTTTGGTCACCTGCTGCCATTCAGGGCAGCATTCGGCACCTTTTCATCTCTGGAAAGCACAAACCCACGAGGATCTGACATTTCAAAGGGGGCAGCCGAGGGAGAGACCTCGGGTTTCCAGCGAAGCCCTCGGCAGGGCAGAGGCGGCGGAGGGGAGATGGGGTGACAGCAAGGAGAGAAAGGGGGAGAAAGAAGGAAAAGACAGAGAAAGAAAGGTCAATCTTGGGTGGAAAGTCCTGCACACATTTGGGCTTCCCGGGTGGAGGAGCGAGCCACAGCCCTGTGGCGGCCGAGCATCCCAATCTCTCCGTGGGCTGGTCACCCAGCGGGGTTTGCCAGGGGGAGATCCTGGTCAGGAGACGCAGAGGAGCTGTCTCCCCTTTCCCCAGGGATCTGGTCCCTTCCCCTGCACCAGCACAAAAAGATGATGGGGGGGGGGGGGGGGAATAAAGGGGCTTTGTTAAGGCTGCTCCAGCACCAGGGGTTCTGCCAAAAAACCCCAGACTATCTCTCCACGAACCCTCCCGACAGCCCCCAAGCCCCTGCAGCCATCCTCCACCCTGCATCATCTCTGCACAGGCAGGGGCGGGCAGCGCTGCCCAGACCTCCCCGCGGCCACTGGACCGGCAAAACGGGGACGAGCTCAACAAAACACTGATCATCCCTCAGCGATCCCCGAGGAAAAGAAAAACCAACCTTGGGATCTCCCTTCCTCTCTGATCATGACGTCCAGAACCACTCCAGCAGCATTTAAATAAGAGTATCTATTCAGCTAACAAAACTCCCACCTTTTTTTTTAGAATTTTTTTTTTTCCGCACTA